TAAGATAACATTATTTACTAATACATTAACAAATAATCAAGATATTATTAATTTATTTTGTAATAAGAAATTTGCGTTTTTCGTCAAAAGTTTGCGAGATATATATAGCAAACACCCCTTGTTTTTCTTAAACACTGTTTATTTTCTCTCGGATCCGCCTGCGGTTCATATCTTATCAGCTGGTAAGTTGCCGTTTTTTAAATATCGCACTATTTTTGCATTGAAACCAATTCACTATTATTTCTTAATAAGTTCTAGGGTTTATGAAAAGTACTATCCTATAAATTTTTCTTTAGAACTCTAAAAGTTAAATAATTTTAGCATTAGGACATCAAGTAGCGCTCTCGGAGTTAAAAACGCTTTATTTCATTGCATATTAATTTTAGGGGTAACTTTTAATATACCACAATGCTAAGTCTATAAAACATGAAATTCCGTGCGCTTGGTGATATTACTAAGGTAAAGTACTCTTTTAATTTCTTATAGGTCCTTTATATTTAAATAACTCAAAAATTATCTGAAAGCTATAATAAAAAGAGAGAAACTGTTAACACTGACCCAGTTATGCACCTGCAACAACACTTTCTAAAAAATTCTGAAAAGGTGAAGACTGAAAGAGACTGTCCCAGGGATCGATATGTACCTATATCACATGGTATAAAGCCAGGCCCTGCTCCAGCTGGTCAGCCAGCTGATAGAATAGCTAATTCACTTCTTTCATTTCATTCCAATTTATGGGATGGTGAATCCCATCATAAACCTTCAACTTCAACCTTTTCTGATCAACGTCCATTTCCTTTTTCTTTACCACCATCTCAACAACCAATTTATTTTCAGCCACCAAATCCAACGCCGATAATACCCTATGATCATAGCCCAGTTTTCCAACAAAATGTACAGAATCAAAGAAATAGTCAGTTTTATCACCAACAATTACCATCATCCTGCTACAATTACCACCAAAAAAATATGAAATATGCAGAGCAACCTCACATGAATAAGCGAATCCCATTACTACCAAGCTCTACTTACCTAGGGGACTGTCAACAACAAGGTCTCGAGAGCTATCCAACTTGGACAAGTAACTTAAATATCTTTCCTAATACATTAAAGCTCTCCGAAAATATGCAAAGTTCTTATCTTTATAAAGGAACCACTCAACGAACTAGGCAAGAAGAAGGGTGTACGGTAAATATTAGAGAAAATGACATTCATTCTCAGTTTTTTAAAGAGAAAAAATATGACCCATTAAACAATTTTGTTGGAGCTAACTTGCTAATCTATTCTGATGTTAGGTGTACAGAGCCGAGCTTTAAGCAAGTGAGTTCCGACCTCCATACTAAAGGAATAAATCTAGCAAACTACAATAATAATGTATTAAACGCTAATATAATACAAGAAGAAGAGAAAAGAAAAGTTAAAGACAATGAATTCAATAAGGAACTTTATGATTACTATATGGAATGGAATGACCATAAATGTTGCGGAACTAGTTACACTATATTTCCTTCAAGCAATGAAAAAATTACAAAAAGAAAGTACATCGCGGGTAATATTATATTTCTAATAAACTTAATTCATTTATAAAACAAAATTAAAGTAGGAACTAGCAAATATCTTCAAAAAACAGACAGACGGAGCAAGAACAGAGGTCTAGCTAAACGAAGAAGTTATGAAGTGTCTTTTAAAGCAGAAATAATACACGCTGTAGATGTCGCTCGCGAAAATTCTATTAAATCTGCTGTCGAGCACGTGGCCGAAAAGTATAAACTACCACTAATTAATGTTGCTAAGTGGTGTCAGAATAGAAAGCAAATATTATCAACTGCAAGTAATAACATTCATAACAAAAAAATTAGACATTCGCCCTCGAGCGAATGTGATCCAAGTTTTAAATATAATACAACAGATCTTGTAATTGAACGTACTAAAAACACAGGGAACACACCTTACCATCAGGACCCCATTATTTTAACTAAGAAAACTTTTTCGTCTACCCCCTCAAATGATATAATATTCTTTGATTTAAAACCGGGTAAGACAAAACAGCTTCCGGAATGTTACCATAATGTACATGCAAATTTTGATTTAGTCGGAAACGCATCTCTAAAAAAGTCTACCAATTCTACCAATGATAACGGTATCACCAAGGCGTTAAATGAATTTAAAGACGGAACTTTTCAGTCATATTTTTTCTAATTTTTATAGGGAAAATAGTGGTCCAACGCCTCTCCTAATGTATTAAATGCTGTTTACTGTTTACGTCAGGATTTTTAAAGGGCACCCCACGGTATTATGACAACGCCCTAAACCATTAAATAAAAGAATTTGATAAACCTTTCTTGAAACCTGTGCGCTTATCTAGTATATAAGAGTACATAACACTATTAAACACTACACATTATTAGAGGCCTACTGGGAGTATAATATTTCTAGCAAAAAGCACCATTTCTTCAGTTTTAATTAGTGAAGACCAGTTAAAAACAGTTTCAGGTAACAGAATGCCTTATTAGCCCATATTTCAAGACCACCATTCCTAGTTCTTTCAAATAAAGCTATTAAGTATACTCAGTAGAATGCGCTTTGCACCCACCTGATTTTACTTCACACCTATTCCCTATTGACATAGTGTGCCACTAGCTTAGATCCAAGACGGACCGTTAAGTGAGACCCATCGTGGATCAAGTTTTTTCCACAGGCTATAGGTGTAAGCGCTAAAATTAAAAAGCGGACAATAAGAATATATACACAAACGGCTCATGGACGAAATGCAAGCTTTATCAAAACTTAACACATAGATGCATTAGTAAAGGCCATCTCTAGATAACCCAGTGCTGCTGTCACACACTACACAAATGAAAAGTACTATCACTAACTGCCATTTTTCCTATTTCAAAAGCAGGTCATAAACCCGCTACTACAGGCCTTGCGTGATTCCTATCGAACACTAAAGATAGTTTGTAAGATGGCCATTATTAAAACCTGCTGGATTAAAAAAAAAACAATTAAAGATGTATCCGATGCTAAGTAAGTAACAATTTCTTAATCTAGTAGGTTGTATTAATTTTTAGAGCTTGCAGATATCCTGCACAAACGATATAAGTAGATACAACAAGATAAACTTGAAACCGTCTATATGGTTTCCCGGTACTCGTATGTTAATGGATATCACTCGTTTATGGGAATATTGACAAATAATTGACTAATGTATTAGTAGAGGGTCTTAATTTCTTCCTTTTAACAAAAAAGTAAAAGAACTTTTAAGAAACTTTGGGGTGACTAAAACTGAACTATCTTAATACAAACTACAAATCGAATTATCACTAATTAAAAAACCAAGCAAAATTCCTGGCTTTCTTAAAGCCTTCTCACCCGCTATAAATTATTTTGCAGCTTGACTTGTAGGACAAATTTGATCATGGCTGCAAAGAACGCTATAAAAGTTCAGAATAGTTAAAGGAAACTTTACTTTATAGTTTTGCTTTAGCAGACCTCAAAACTAAATTGCATAATCAGTAAGAGAGAACATTTCTACTTTTATGTATTTAAAAAGGTTACTAATATTATTCTAACTTAGACATATTTCTTAGGTCATTTTAAATTGAAATCATATCTTTATGTATGACTGCTAGCGTAAGTTACTATATTCATATAAATATACTAAATGTTCGAATTATACTTGTGAAAATAAAAGTGTGAATATGCTATAACTAACGAATATTTAGCTTAGCCCTCCAATTAGAGCGTTTTTATTTTAGGCCCCCTACTGTTTTTTCTTATACGCTTACACCGTAAAATAACCTAACATCATATAAAAATTAAAAAAACCAAAGGCTTAAAAAAAAGCGTCCAAATAGTCACTACTGCAAAGGCCTACGTAGGATTTTTACAAAACATTTCCTTAACTGAAGCAACAGGTGATTGATTTTTAAATTATTTCAGCTAATTTATAATATGTAGGAAAGTAATAGGGGGGTATTTCCAAGTTGACTGTAATTAATACATCAACGTATTAAAAAAGATTAAACACGAGTTGTTGCTGAAATTGAAATCTTAGTCTACTTAAATAGTAAACAGGGGTTTCATAAGACCGAGCTTTAACAATGTCACAACTTCTTATTTTGGTCTGTGAACTCGTTATGTATGATGGCTTTAAAAGTATACATGTTTACAAAATAATTTAAACCATGCCGTACAAATCATAAGGGGAATATAAATTTTATATAATTAAAGTGTATAAGAAAATGCAAAACTTTAATTAAGGCATGCAATAGCACACTTGTTACAAGCAAACTCCCAACTAGAAATAATTATTTATAGTTTTATACCAGTTCCTGATCAGAAGTAATTTCATTTTTTAAATACTTTTTCATGTTTATTGTGAATCCAAGTAAACTAACTTGGCTAGATTTTAAGCTAATATTATTTATGCTTAACGCAAACTTACTATCATTAAGGTTCTTTTAGTCTTCGTAATAACTCAAGCAACATATAGTGCTATTTTATGTAAAGTTTTTCATATTAACTTTAATTTGTAATTTAGTTAAGTTTCTAAGCCATGAAAGCTATTCATTATGCTAGAGTATCGTGTAGATATAAGATAGGAAAGCTGTGACAGTCCTATTAATTACCGTCAGACTCTTTCTGAAAAAAAAATCCTTATAAAATATGATACTAGGACTTAAGCTGTCATGACACTGCATTTCACTAATATCTTAATTTAGTGCCAGGAGATTATTATACTTAATTATTTTATTACAGCCCGTACGGTGCCTGCAAACCTGAATATGCAAAAAAAAAAAAAAAATTGCATCCTTTGTATTTTTTAATTGTTACTTCACGCTCTTTTTACTAAAATATCTTTACCTCTTCTATCGCTTATAACTTGTAAAAGATTATAGAAACACAAATTATACTTACAATTTTACTATGCTAAATGCACAGTAAAGTATTTGATGCTTGGCTCCAGAGCAACTGTGCAGTTGTTCAGCACAACTTAAGTTAATAGTTTATGCTAATAGCACTGGTCTTACAGGATGGAGGGATTCAATACTTTGATATGTACCTTCTCCGTTAAGTTGCGCGTTTACTTTTACCGTGGTGGAATATCTGGATCAGGATTTTTTATTTCAATTTAGATCAACTTAAACTGTATTCATCCACTAATGTAAATCCTTTGTAGAACTTTTTCAGAGAGATCATGCAGGTTTTTTTTTCTTTAGCTACATCTTTAATTTTTGTCTACTTTTAACTTTAGGCATCGTTAAAATCGGCTTTAGGGCTATATTACTAGATCATAGAACTTTATAAAAGATATGTAAGCTCTCGGTCTAAAAATTTTTAGCTGGGTAACTTTAAAAAACTTATTAATAAACTTAGCTTGCTGTAACATCGTATTTGTTAATTCATAGGTATACTGTGGATAAGTAAACGTTCGAAACGGCCTTGTAATTAATATTCAGATTAAGTCTGAGTTTAGTGGTTTATTCACACTAAACGTAGATCGGGTTTATACTAACTTAGCTTCTTTATACACTGCCTTAAAAAATATTATAATTTTTTTACTTTATAATACAATCTTTAAAACTATATTTTGGTGAATTGGAGAAGGTAATAAGAGAACCAAAACTTAAAAAAGGCCAATGTAAGAATAAGTTTTCTATTTAAAAAAATAATATTTGTAAACTTTCTATGGTAAAATTCCTACTTAAGTTTTTTATCTACGAACAGAAATCTTATATATTGAACTAACAGGGAATGGCGCATTCTATCAATACAGGTTAGTTTAATAACACTTTACAGAGTGGGCGGATTTTTTTAATATTGCTCTAATTTATATATATTTTAAAACAACAATCTTTTTGTCAAATTAAATAAGGAGATATTGATAAATACCGTAAATAGCAAAACTAAGTACTAAATACGCTTAACTTAAAATGAAGATTATTATAAAAGCTTCGTTTGTTAGATTAACTTTTTTTTGGTCAAGTTATCAACGCAGTTGTAATGTGTGCTTATGTTAAGTGAGCTTTATTTAAAGATAAAATGCGCAGTGAACATATTGAAAATAAGATTGTTTGCTAAGTAACTTGACTAATTACTTTTAAATTATTATAAAGTTGTGTGCCCGCGAGCAAGCGAGTGTATGCTGACCGGAAACAATGCGCTCACCCAAAAAGCAGAGTTTTCCGGTTGTACGTGCTAAGGTAATTTAGAGGTAAATTTCTATCCCTCATTCTAACTATTTACCATTACAAAGCTTAAACCAAAAAGTTTAGGTGGTGTAATAACCTTACAAAAAAAAAGTTAAAAGATTATTAAAAAGTTGACTTGGCGAATATGCAGCATGTATGAATTATATGCAAATAAAGTATATTAAAATAAATAAATCCTGACTTTCACTCATTTAAACAAGTTACCAATACTCTAGCTTTTAAACAGGTTATAATATATAGTCTATATAGAGGCCAATTTTTGATCAGCTCTCTTATATTCTAACTCTGACATGCTACAGTCAAACCTCTCTTTCTGTGAGGCCTCAATTTTGCTTAATCTAGTTTTTGCGGTGTAACATTGGATGTTTGAGTAATCAGGTTAATTAGGTAGTCACCGGAGCATTAGACGCAGCCGAGTTGATGTCGATGCCTCCTGTATTCTTTGTATAAACTTGTATCGTTAAATTCTTGAACAAATAGAAAAATAAAAAGAGCCAAATTCTCTTTGACTGTATGCTAAAAAAACTGTCTTTCAATATTTAATTCGCGAGGAAGGATAAAGCTTTGGACAAACCCTGGCGCACCTAAAATAGTTTTCGTTATAGAGTATTGTATAACCTAAATTGCCGAATAATGGAAGGGCGAACAATATGGCCACGCCATAGATGCATATGTCACCTTTGGTCTAATAGCGGTGTAATAAAGTTAAAACTTGTTGGTTTGAAGAGCAGACTCCTCTGTCAAATAAGTGGGTATAGTAGTTTAATCTCTTGTTCAGCCTTTTTCGTGACATGTTCAATATGGTTGCGCCAAGAGAGTCCGTTCTCTATGATGATGCCAAAATAGTTTATGTTAGTTCACTATTCAAACTTTCCATTCCATCAAGACCGACCCTCGAGGTCTTTCCTCTGAGCTACCCATTGCCAGCCCTGAAACAGCGCAGCGCTCGACACGCCATAGACCCGCAACACAAAAAAGTAGTAAAGCAGTCGATCTTTTATGCAGTAATGACATTATAATAATTCTATGCACCGCAACCCGCTCAAAGACCACAACCTATTGTTCCGAAACAAAGAGGCGAAATAATCGCGAAACTCGCAGCTGCTCCCGAAACATTATTTCTAGTGAAAGCAAATGGTTGCTAAATCCAGCCCATTCGCAACTTAAAACTCTTACACCGGGATGTCCACATCGAGCACTGCAAAAAGTCCGACTACTCCTATTGCAGAGTGAAATTTTGAATATCGCGTTATAAGCGGATAATACTTGAAAGCGTGCGATTAGTTGGTACTCTGCAAATACAAAACGTAGCGTCTTGAATGACGTAATGGAGGGTATAGCTATCCTGAATACTGCGACCTAATTGCTCTCATAAACCTAAAGGGCATAAGGTCGTAGGGTTCCGCCTTCACTCGGTTGACATGAGGCCGACCGATGTGCATTTTCTAAACTTCTCGACAGGTCGTTTTCTTGCAAGTAATCTAGGTATGCTGCTTTAGTTTTGCTCTTTGTTCTCTGTGGCTTTATACTGTAAACACACTGCTGGGGAGAGGTAAGTTGTAAATACAAACGATATTTTATCTAAGGCACGCGGACCAACTGAATTTTCGCGTGGCACAGTGACATCTAACCCACGTGGCAAAAAAGGAATTTTGGACGTCCCTAACATAGCCGTTTCCAAAAACATTTGCCAGTCGGGGTCGATCGCCGAGTTTTGTCGAATAACCTGCCCTTCTTACTGGAACTGGGCGAAGGCACAGGCCCCTGCGAAGCATTGGACTCATTTAAGGACGGGAAGCATCGCTATCCACAGGTTTATCTTCCCCTTCAACTTCCTTCCTATTAAGAAAAGCTATTGATAGCTTTTTGGGCACTCGCGTATCCTGTCGCGGTAACTAGCAGTGAATAACCCTTTCACCTGGCCGCCCTCCGGGTTATTAAAACGTCTGACTACTGCCACACGAAGTCCTGGGCAACAAATTGATGTTAAACCGTCTTTAAAAACACATTACAACAGAGCTAGCCGCTTTTCAATATATTCATTGGGGAGTGAAATTGCAGAACTTATTGTAGTGACTGACGAAGGACGGTGATCTTTTTAACACTTTATCAAACGAATTAAAAACAGATGCCACACACAAACTCTTTCACTTATTAATAAAGTGATAGTGACTGATAGCGACGAAAAAGACAACCCTTTTTGCCGGCCATCCAACTACTTGGTGCGTTCTTCGATTACGTTTACATTCCAAGAGGAAGGAGAGACGTCACAAGGCTCATAACCGTTGGTGAGGGGATTATCAAACTAAGGACAGGTAACATATACTCAGTACTTTTTCCAGGAAAAGCATGCGGCCCTAACGACATAATTGACAAGATACTAAAAAAAAGTTGCCACCGGGGTCGATTAACCACCGTTCCTGTTTTGCCACGTCTGCAATGTCGCATGGCTCCTTTTTAACAATCCACGCAGTCAACTCACCGCACATATAACGAATAAATACCTAAAACCATACTTGGGTAACTATCTCGTAGGTCAAGTGCGTTGATGCTTCTACTCAAAGTTGTGGGTCTGATTCCCACCGACGAGATTCTCTTTTTCGGTCTATAATGGTCGCGCGTATTTGACCCGCCCTTATAAATTCTAATACAATGGCCCTGCGCAATTGATTGCGTTTCTACGAAGTGTGCGTGCGCACAATAATGGCTCAAGCACCTGTTGCTTGTGAACGTACCAAAAACTATTAACGTTTACGATTGGATCCCTGCAGTTGCAACTAAAAAAGCTCCGCCCCAAATAACAAGCTCATTAACATATTTTAGAACTGGCCTACAATGACTTGAAGTTCTTCCTCTGAAGGCACTTGCTGCTTCTTTTGAACGGGTTAGTAGACATGTAAACTATTACTGGGCTCAAGGACCTCCATACGAAACATGGATAGGCGCACACTCCTAATGCTTTCATACCTCCACACAAATATGTATATATGTAAATAGGATGATAAGATGACTTGCGGAAACTGAATACGAACTAGCTACTTAGTCTAAGTGATTAAAAAAGTGGGCTCGACTTTATTGAGGATTTGCACAATCCATTAAAAATAAAAATAAAACTTGTTACTAATTGATTTTAATGCATTCATTTTTACTAATCCTGTCTCATTTATTTTCCACTTTTAGTAGATACTGTTTTAAACTGCTGAACTCAAAAAAAAAATTAGTTTTTTAAAAAGTAAATCTTCGGAAACTTTAGAAGATTTAATTGAAATGCGACATTATTCGCAATATCTTTGAATAGCAGTACTACTTATATGTATATAATTGTGCTATAAAGCGGTAATGAACCACCATGGGACGCATATGGTTTGTTGATCTATTTTCCTTAATAAACTCTAAGTTATATATAACATGTTAGACAAGTTTAGCTTGCTTCGCGCTGCGAAAGGGCAAAACATCGCAAAAACTGTTTGCAGTTAAAAGGTTAGGTTTTATGTAATACCACAAAAGTAAGAGGAAATTGAAGAAAACTAAGATAGTACATTTTACTAGTACGCCTCTATTTTATCTTTCTCTCCTGCTTAGAAATCAGATTTAAAAGCCGTTTATTTAATAGGATAGATGCTTGTAGAAGCTATTAGTTCGCGTTATTTAAGGCTATACTCCTTTGTCCACCTGGAATTTTATATAAAGAAACAGATTTACTGGGTGCTGCTTAGTCAATTAAAATATCTAGTTAATCTTCCTAGCGCGCAGTAATATTATTAAGAATATGCATGGCATCGCATTAAGTTAGTTTATGTACATGCTGTAAGCAACTACACTCGCCCCGAGACGTTCTTAGGTGCGGAGGTTTAAAGCAACTGGTAAACCGTTTTCCCTCTCTCTTATTTAACGTTTTTAGTTATAGGCGCTACAATTTAACTTAGGCTACGCCCAGAGGGAGCTATCCAATGCAAAAATTAATTTTTAAGTGTTAGTTATAAGGTAATTGCTCGACTGGGGAAAGGTCTACACTGTTTAATAAAAATCATTTTAATTCAAGCTTTTCTTAAATCTCGTCTCTAATTTTAAGTTAAAAATTTTAAAATTTGCAATATTATTGTTATAAGGTAGGTGTAAAAATTTAATTGTGAAATATATTATTTAAACATGACCAAGGTAACAATTGACAATTTTTTTTTGTATAGTGTTGCGTAATATATGTAGCACCATAAGAGAGTAAAAAAAGATCTAAAATGTTCCATACTTTTTTTAATTTTCAATTTGAATCCTAAATAATATACTTGAGGGCAAGAGCGGAAGCCAAACATGAGGTGGGGTCTGTGTTTAAATAACTTATGCGTTTGATTCCCCAGCCTTGGGTATTTCCTTAAGCTAGTAACATATTTGACATGGTGAAGCGTGCCAGTTTTTTTCCGGGCGCAGGTTATCTCATAACTAACTTGAAAAACTGTAATACAATTTTAAATAATCTACAGTTTAGGTTGCTTAGCGAAGGTAATAATAAATTTTAGATAACCTTGGTTTCGCATATTTATTTAATCACTTAAGGTTTTAAAAAAAGTTTATATAGAAAACGCTTTTCTTCTAAAGGAGAGAAGCGCAATCAAAAATTACACAATTATTCTAAGCGACTGTATTCTAAGGTGGAATTTTTATAACTTTCACTTTTAAAGTGTTTTTTAGTTTACTTGTAAAATTATCTTTTGCGTTAAAGGTTATTTGTTAACTATTTTTAATATTGTCTAGGCCTTTAATGAACAACTTAACTTTTGTGGGCGAGATTTAAAACATCTTTTTACTTCCTAGTCCAATCAAAAGTTAAAAAGAAGTTAAGTTTAGTTTTAATAAAAATTTCAAAGTTTAATTTTTTTTGGTTGCAATTGTTAAAAACTCCACTTGATTCGGGCAGCCGCTTGTTTTATTACTTAACTTTCCTATACCCAATATTGTCGTTTTAATAATTTTCTACTAGTTTTTTTCCTTTTACTAAGTTAAAATTCTGCGAAATTTTTTGACTTTCAATATTTTAAAATATTTATCTAACTCTGGATAGAGCATTCGGTATTTGCAATCATATAAGTTTTATATTTTATTTATATTTATTATTTTTTTTTTCGCCCTTGAAATAAATTATAAATGTATATTTTGCTAATTTATGAAAGTTAAAACTGTATCCCTTAACACCAGAGGGTTTCACAGAGTTTTGCAAGTAAAATATTTTAAAAATTCAGTCTCTTTTTAATAAATAACTATTAATAGAAGTTTTTTTGAGACTTATTAACATTATTACCTTTTTATAATAATTTTTATTATCTTATTATATAGTATAATTATTTAGATTTATAATTTTTTGTAGACAAAAGCGCTATACTTTATATTGTTTATACGCTTTGTAGTTTTGATAACATTTCAGTCTTTTATCACTTTTTTCTGCTTCGGGTCGCATTCCAAAGCTGGCTAGACTACACTAATTTATTGTAAATCTTAGTGTTTACTTTCAATAATCAAGCAATAAATACATAAAAATTATATAATCATACATTTAAATAATATTTTGTAATAGAAATTTTTAGAAATAATAAACTTCTGTTAGGCTATTTAAAAATTAATAAGTGAATAATAGGACCACACTAATTCCCTTTATTATTAAACTACCATAAAATAGATTAAACCCAGCAAAACTATAATAATTTAGAGTTCCGCAACTCAAGGAAATTATTTATTTAAAGTTCCTTATTAAGTGTCGTAAACTTGATAAATATAATACTTTTTCCTTTTGCTTTAGTAGAAAAAAACGAGTATATTGCCGGACAATCCCAATTTTCAATAGTATTAAGTTAACTTCCTGCCAAAGTATGGAGATACCGCGCCAAGAATGATTACTTTTTTTAAAAAATAAAAAATAATAATATTGATAAATTGCAAGCAAAAGTAAACAGCGCATACTAATCTTGAACGTTTATTAAATATGAAAATGTGATCAACTAAATTGCAATTTCCAACAGAATACAAATTAAAATCAGTTTTATTTTTCGCTTAATATATTTTTTAAATATAAAACCTTTTTTTTATTATAACGAACTGAGGAAAATTGTATCAAATTCTTAAAAACATAATTATATAGTTTTTTTAACTTATAAAATCCAACGATCAACAATCCAGAGAAAAAGTTATAAAATCGCAAGTGTACAGTCAAGTTTAAAATTTTATTGTCGTACTTTGTAATAAATAATTTAACTTTGACAATTCAACTTTGAAATTTTTAAGAAGTAAAATTTATATAAGTGAAGTTATAAAAAAAATCTTTGCAGAAGGCGTGACTTAAGGCGGCCATTACAAAGCTTTGTACCATAAAAAAAGCAAGTTTCGTTCACACCCAATTCTTTTTCACACGTCAGGCCGTAAGAAGTAGTAGAAGGCAAACCTCTGCGAAAAAATCTTGTCATTGCACTAAAAAAAAAATAGTTGACAGGAATTACAAATAGAAGAAATTATATTTTATATTTAAAGTTTAATTAAAATAATTAAAAATTATGGACTTCTATGTAAGGCATTATTTGTGTAAATTATACAGCCAGTTCCACTCAAAAAAAATAAAAACCACAAAGTGGCTAATAAATTATTATTAAAGAATTTTAAAATTTAAATAGTGAACTTAAAAAATTTAAAGACCAAAATTAAGTAAATTATTTAAGGTAAGGCAGGCCTTATTAAAATTAAAACAAGGATAGTCTCAAAAAAAAATTATATGTGAAGATTTGTCTCCTCAAAAGAAGTTTTTTAATATTCCTCAGAGATATAACAACAAACTTTTTAATATATATAGGTAGATATATAAAATAATTCTTAACTTATTAAAATCCACTATCAAATCCTTATGAAAAATCTTAATAAGCGTAAAAGAAAATGAAATAACTATTATATTAAATTTTAATCCCCTGTTTTCTTTTCGAATTGAAAGATTACCAATTTTAAAAAAAAGAAGTAGCAACTGCAGTATTACTTTATATAACAATTAATTTTCTAAGATTCCGTGAAGTAGATAAAATAAAATGATCTTTTTTAAAACCTCTGCTACTTTTAGAAAGTCAAAATTTAGATGATTTAATTTTATTTGTCTATTTAGTTGGCTTTATGGTGTTTATTTTATTAATATTATAATATTTATTAAATTTTATTTAATTATTAGTATATTTACTCTGCAATAAGGCCGTCATTTGGTTGCTTGGTGACGAAGTCAAATATAACGTTGACAAAAATTTCATTTTGCTAAAAAGGAACGTTTACCATAAATTAAACCGACCTCCTTTAACTAGTTAATGACACTATTAACTTTGATAAAGAGCTATTTTAGTGCTAGTTCCTTGAAGAAAGATGTAAAAACTTTGTGATTCTGTTATTGTGCAGTTGATGTACTAGTAAACTTGCAAAAATCGTCAAATTGTGTCAACGCTCGTCAACAATATTATGGTGGTTAATCTTTTATAAAGAGGAAGAAAAAATTTTTCGCAACTTTCAATTTAATATTTATTAAAAACCACTATCCTAAAAAATATATATAAGTACTTTTCAAACAACAGTAAAAGCTTTTAATAAGTATAAAGTAGACAAATATAACCAATTATAGCACAATATCTACGTAGTAAACTTTTTATACGCACGTAAAAGTTTAAAGTTTTAAGATCAATTGTTTAAATAACTTAACAAAATTAATTTTCAGTTTTTAAATTTTTACAAATTAGTAGTAAAAATTTTTATGACCAATAATATAATAAGTATGATGGTTAAAAATGATATATCCCAAACATTATAAAAAATTTGAAAAAAAAAACTTTAAAAAAAAATACTTAAGGAATCTAAAAGTAATAAAGAAAAATTATGGTTTTATATTAAACCAATAAACTCCTCTTATTTCGGCTCCAGCCAATTATTGCATAGAGAACGAGAAAAATAAAAAGCTAACGGCTGGGCGGTGTGTCGGTAAGGAATCGCCTGAGCAGCTGTGCACGTGATGTTATCGTACTGGACTGTCAAATGAACGAAGAATATAAAAAATGCCTAATTAACATTGTAAAAACCACCAAAAAATCTAAATCCCAATTATTAAATAAAAATTTTTAACGTTTATATTAATAAAGAAATTTTTTAGCAGGGAAAACTAAAAACAGGGGCGGGAGACCAATAACGCAAGACACTTTATTCACTCTCTGGGGTTTCTTAATTTAAGCCACGACCAATTCATGCGTAAAGAAACCGACCATAAAAGGACAATAAAAGACACAGTAAATGCAAATCGCAATAAGATTAGCACCGGGTAAAAGGTGCCATACACAAAAATGTCTGCTGTGACTCGATATACAAAAAAACAAAGCAAAGACGGAAATGTCGTTTTAACTGTTAATTATTTGCTAATTTAATTTACATGAATATTATCTTAATAAACCAATTTAAAACTGGCAAAATTTTTAATTAATGTGCTAATTTTTATTGTTTAATTAACTTAATAATAATCTAACTTGAAAAAAAAAGCATAGAAAAAATTATAACAAATATTACTTTAATGCCTAGTAAAGACTTAAAAAGCGGTTTTTCCACGTTGGTAGATTCAATAATAACGACTCGTACTACTTCATATAGAAGGGCGATCGACAGTTTGAAAGTCTTCCAAAATACCCTTTTTATTACTCACATAATATTTTTTACCAAAGCCAAAGGAAATTACTTTATTATTTTAATGCAACAAGGATGACAAAAAGTATTATCATAAAAAAAAATTATGTATATTATAATTTGTTTGGACCCAGTGTTTAATAATGTAATAATATTTTATTAAAAAATCTACTGTTCACTTAAACTAACAAAACCAAAATTAAATTCCTATTAAAAGTTAAAGTAGTAAAATAATAGGAAATGAAAGTTAATAAAAAGTTTAGTGAAAAAGTAGTTAAATACAATTTAAGCACTTACAAAAGATATATTAATTAAATAAAAAAAGGTTTTTATTACAATTATAAAAGTTACATCGACAAACGTTATTTTTAACTTTTTACTTTTGTCATTTTTAGCTTTTATACACGTAGCTCTTAGTACTTAACTATAGGGCCTTTAAAGTAACATGAAGGAGAAAGCAAGATAAAGGTTTATAAAATTAGCGCCTTGGGTTGACATACCTTGCATTTTTGAAATTTAGCGTGCTTTTTCTTGTAGTTCTTTGCCACTCTCTTTTTAACTCATTTTAAGTTTTTAGTTTTATTTAGCTATTCCAAGTTACAATTCCTTATTATGTTCTCTCTTTTTTTTTTATTAGGTAAGGACCACTATCTTTAATCTTTCAGGAGCGCAGTAATATTATTTATAATTTGTGTGGCTTTCACTTTTAGTTATTAAAGTATCCGAGTAAAAGATTCGCTCTCCCAAGCTATTGTTAGTTTGGGGTGTAAAACAGTTCAGAAACGATGAAATAGTATAAAAAGGTGATTATAGTATAAGAGAAGTCGGTTTGTTTAGTTGAATCCCTTTTACTTTACGATAATTATTATAGACCAAATCTTTTAAGAAAACAATATTTAGACAAATAAAGTTAACCTTCAAAATACATAAAAAAAATTTAAATATTAATTTTAAATAGAAATCATGATTATTTTTTTACTAGAATATGAATAAGGCACAGAAATTAGTACTTTTAAAATCTAGTTTAAAAAGCATATTTTATAAAATGTCATTCACAAACGGTGCTCGGGATATAATCTATTTTTAAATACTTTACTTAAATTATTTTGAACAGCTAAAAGTTTTATAATTAAATAGA